CGATTGTGATGCCGTCGTTAGTGCCATCGCAAACTTTGTCGATGCAGGAGTATATGTGCCGCACAACTTCAGATCCTTCCGAACGAACCATAGAACGGGGTCCCAATATTGACGATGGTACCATGTTTCTGTGTGCATCACAATGTTGCATGTCGCTGATAAATGCTACAAATGCCTAGACTCTCAGACTCATTTTGCCAGAGCAGGTGAGCGGAGTCATAACCTGATGGGCGCGACTACTGGACAGATGCATGCAATACGAGATATCCAGTCAATACCAGATATCCAGTCAGATGATTCCGGGCTGCGAGACCTTAGCGTTGATAGTCAGGGCGATCAAAACAGCGGCGGCGCAGACCATTCAAGGAGAAGAAGCGTCGAGAGCCTGAGTGTTCTAGAAAGGCAACTGCGGGACGGGCCCAACGGCTGTACTGCAAACAGTGAGCAAGACCAATCAGCCGTTTGAATGAGGGGGTTGACTCATGAGATCGACAGGTCCGCCGCTTATCAAGAAAGGTGCCGTTCCACAGGTCAAGCCAGGCGCTTTTGAGAAGTCGGCCCGCGCCGTCAACAAGGAGTTCACTGCGGTGGAAAATCTCGGAGCTGGTCCTACTAGTAGCCAAGACTATCTCTGTTTGAACGCCTCCGCAGACGACCAGCCTGACATGGGCAGCGGACCGGTCAACGTGCATGAGACAGAGCACGTGAATGTCACCCCGCGGCAGGCAGATGGTACGAGATCTCCTATGGCTTCATTATGGAACGCAGCTAAATTGGACGAACACGCATAAGCCTCTAGTGGGCCCCAGGTACAGGATATTCAAACTCTAAGGCGTGGTGCCTCATCATTGCAAGTCCAGCTCGGGCAGTCGCAGAACGATCTGGGTGCCGAGGTATTGACAGGAAGACTTGCGTGCTCGGTGGATGACGCACAAGCAAGTTCTCGCGAGATCAATCATTCTGCATGCGAAGATACAAGTTGCATCTCGTTCAGGAATTATCAAGTCCCTGAAGATGTCTCATCAGGCAGAGACAGCGGAATACCTGGTGGAAAACCTAATTGGGCACAAATAACTCTCCCGCTACACTCGGAGGACATCAATACCTTCGCACCAATTGTCAGGAATCATAGCACAGACAGCGGCAACAGTTACCAGCAGCGAAGAGACAATGCGGAGCACGAGCCAGCTTCGAGATCAAGAATGCCAGCCAGTCTTGCCGCAATAGGTGTGGAGACAGGAGCCACGGGCAGAACGCCACAGCAGAATCGTGATTGGACAATTCGTCCAGGCTCGAGTCCAACTATCTCCAAAGCGGCCTTTGATGTTGGCAGATTAGCCCCGGTCATGATCGGGACTTCTTCGCAACCCTCCATCCACCGCCAGCCAGACGCAGCCGCTGTTGGTGCATCAGCTGTCGTCCGTGATCTCACTAGGCTCAAATCACGTAGACGAGAGCGACACTCCCCTAGCAGTGATTCAGCCTTCATGCCGTGGAATGATGCTGTTATACGCATCTCACATACCGGTAGTGCCTCTGGGTGGACTGGCTTTGCTATCGATCAAGCTACATCCCCTTCGTTTGACAGGGGTGACGCTCTGTTACCTCCGACGTTATCAGAGGCAGCCGCTAAACATTGGGACCACGGATGGTCTGGTTTCGTGATAAGCGAGTTCTTCACTGGCCAATCGAACAGCACTACCGTCTTTGATAATGCGCATGTACTCTCGCCTCCCTCTGAAGTATTAGAGCCCGGTTCGTCTTGGGAAGGGTTCGCCGATGCGGAAAAGCTTATGGGGGTCCACGGGCGTCATCTCGCCTCTTCTATCAAGCTCGACTTTCCAAGGATGGACATGGACATGGACACGCACACAGACATGGACACGCACACGGACATGGACACGCACACGGACATGGACACGCACACGGACATGGACACGCACACGGAGTATGATACCTCTACGGTCCCATTGGATCATCATATCAGTTCGGTAGGTCTCCCCATCCAATGGAAAGCAGTGTGTTCATCATCTTCTTTCTTTGTCCGCCTGGCCTGTGTAGACTCTCCCGCGAAAGAATATTCTCTGCTCACCTCCATCTCATGTTGCCGACAACTTCTTCCGTAACAGTACATCGCAACCTATGGACCGTAGTGACTTTATCTCAACGGATGCAATACAAGCAAGCGTGCAGTCCGACGTTTTTCCGGGTTGGACAGCTCCACCGATTCTCACGGCGGACAGGCCCGAAGTTCAACCAGGCTATACGCAGCGTCTTCAGTCATTCATGGATTTCGGAGGTTTCTTACTCGCCGACAACAGGCTCGCAATGGTGGATAATCCGACGGAGCTCAATGACAACTACGCACAGATGGATGTAGATCCTGATCCTGCTCCGTCAATGCCGGTTCTTGTCCGAACGAGCCGATCCATCGCAAATGATCGGCATGAACTGCAAGCAGAGCACTGGACTGGGTTTCCTATATTCATGCAAGACCAAACGCTTTCCGATGTGCCTCCAGCAACTTCGACACAGACAGAAATTGAACCTGACCGCACGAATCATTCAAGATGGAACGCAAGCGGTTTTTATAGCTGGTTGAATGAGGATCTGGCTCGTGCCAGTTTGGGCAATGATCGTGCTGTTAATCAGCTTGACGGTATCCTCGCGACGTCCATGGTCAAAGATGCGATGGTTCCAAGTCATATCGTAGAGCGACTTACGCAGTTATTACACGGCAAGGGATCGCCGCCACATGATCAGGTCTCAGCCCGTGAGGAAGACCTTGTAAGTACAGCACCGAAACCATCTGATCGTCACACCTGAACATCATTCCCAGAGCTCCATTATACATGACTGGATTGGACCCACATCGGTGAGACGCAGAAAAGGGTGCATAAATGTCATTTTCTCTTACGTATGCTCAGGCTGTTCAGAACACTGTGGCGACCAGGAAGGATCTACGAGTTTTGCTTGGCATTTTACTGAAGTGCCTTCAACCCCTTTCCGCCTCATTGCAGGGTAGACAAGAAAGTACAACCACATCTCAAGATTCGAGATCTGAGCCACGAAGTGTCGCAGTACGTCGTCGTACTTATGCTAAGCTTGAGTTGCAGGTCAGCTTGCACCGTCCGAACTCTATATGAATTGATACCAATAATGCTCTTTTTTTCAGGCCAAAATTCGCTTGCATGCCAGCCGGATGCTGAGACGCGACTTCGTTGATAGCCCTGTCCCTGTTGCATCGGAGGAGGAGGTATATGCCTTTGACGCAAAGAAACATCCGGGTCCCTCTAAGTCAAATTTTCGTCTACACCTGTCTGGGCACCTGATCTCGATGTGGAACAAAAAAGCTGCGGCCGTATTCGCAGATGATTTTGTTTCTATCGGACTAACGGATTTTCAAGACAAGATGCAGATCCAGCGCATGTTCCTCGTGCATTTAATCACTTTGCGAGCGCAGCACCGGAAACTGTGTCAGGACGGCCAAGAGCCATCGCAATTGGAAGTTGATCAACATATCCAGGAAAACCGGGAGCATAGACGGCGCGCAGTACGTATTTTCTCTCAAGAGTCCATGGCCTACTGAGTACCCACTATTCTCTGTTTTTGTCCAGCTGCGAGAACGGCGATCGAGCGCTGTAGGCACGCATTCACACTTCGCACGCTTCCGGAAGCTGTGGGATACCATCCCCTATACGGCTATGAGCGGCGACGAATCGGACCATTCTGGAGGGAAAGTAAGATACGTCGTGACGAGATTGAACTGGCGTTCCTCCGAGTTTGAAACATGGTTGAAAGTATTCGACTGGATGCATCTGTCAAGCAGATTTACTGCGGAGAGTAAACCCAAACGCGGCGCCTTTCCTCGCTATCGTCGCCGTGGATCAAGAAGACTCGAGCAGCTAGGAGCCCCAGTGGCTGGCTTACCAAGAAACTGCTACGATGAAAGATGGCTAGCCGGGCTCGGTGAAGTAGAGCGAGTCTCTCTCAGCATTCAACCAGCAGTGGACCTGGTGCATTCTGATCAAGTGATGGCGTTCGTATCCTTGACAGATGGTTAACCGACAGTACACTCATATGCTTTCTAGCATTGCCTCTAGATTCACACACATCAAAGATGCCTCTTCACGGCCTCTACCTTCTCCCCAAAGTTGAGCGGGTCTTGTGCGATGGCTTGTACTGTGTAGCAACGGATTGGATAGTGCTTATGGGCGGACCATGCAGGTTTTGCATCGACCGCTCTTTGTATTTCGGCACGTAATGCACTTCAAGAGAACGAAACTCGAGATGTTTTTGTCCTGATGCTGTTACAGCTACGCGTCAACAGGCCTACGTTCTACCTAATTTGCTTGTGCTGACAGTAGCTGTCCTTCTGCAGAGAGATTCGCGTTACCCAAGAAGATCCGTAACGGCGAGATTTCCCAATACAACTTCATTTTCGGTACGTCGAAGTGCATTACTTCTGTAGTCGTCGGACAACAGGCACTTGACAGTCGCTCTGTTTATGTCCGCAACCGCGACGATGTCGGACCAAGACGCGAGCCAAGCAATTGCTGCCGTTAGAGGAACTCGAGCAGAAGTGATCCGATCACTGTCATGTTGCTCTTGATATTGTCGTGCTTCGACCCCGGATAGAGTCGTCGAAGCGACGGTCTATCCAGTGGACTTGTCAGCTTTGAGAGAGAGACTAAATGCTTATAGTTATTTCTTCGCTTTCGGACGGGGTCATTGGAGAAGCGGCGGTCTATCCAGTAGACTTGTCAGCTTTGAGAGAGAAATGCTTACATCGAAAACGACAATTGCCTGCTCACCTCTGGTGCGGCGTCAAGCAAGTGGATTTTGCGTACCTCGAGCGGCCTACGTGCCCAATTCGGCGAGTAGACCGCCGACGCGAGATAAGACTTCCCGTCGTCGAGGCCGAAAAGCCGAAAAAGGACAATTTGATGTCGCCGCTGGCACAGGTTGAACGTGCTGTCGCAGTCGTAGTCAATTCGATGACGAGTTGTACGAGTGCGTCTCTAATTTGCTTGGCAGTCTCCCTGCTCACGGACGCTGGGATTGATAGCTGATGTCCGGCTGCCCGTGGGCTTGCCTGCACTTTGCCCCTCACGGCAGTGCTTTGACGACGCATGGCTCGATTGCACTTGTTTCAAATGAGATCAACGCGCGCTGCCTGGTTGCCACGGGGTCCGTCGCGAGGCATGGTGGCCTCGCTGCCGGCCTCGTCTCCTTATATTATTGTCCTCAGTTCCCTCAACAAACGCAACGCAACTATCACGACCCACCTCCCCACATATCCGCGGACAGGCCATATGCAGCAACATTCTCGGGCATACAAGCTCTCGCGAGCATATCTATGCCAGTGCCCCCAATGCACGCAAACGCTGTCACATGATCCGTACACGAATGAACCTCTGCGAGGAAGGCTCCTCAGCAAAAATGAGCGAGCTGACCATCGACGGCTGGAATCTCAGGTAGCGCATATTTCTGTCAATTCCTCAGACGCACAGCTCTCGTCCAGTGGGTCAGCACGTGATGACCTCCAGTGCGATACCCTATTTTTCCCCCGAATAGAACCGCAAGGTAGGATATGACACAAACCACATGAGTAACGATCCTCACATGCATGATTGTATAGCTGCTAGCCGCGATGAACATATGCCGATGGAAATCGATGTGCAGCAGTCCTCGTCGGACCTCCAAGGTGGCGTAGTAGAGGCTCTAATCGAGGCAAAGCACACGTTGGAGTCGAAGCATGCCATGGCCGCCGATCACGGCACGCTAGTCTTCCTTTCACCTGCTGTTTCAACTTCCATACCACTCGCGTTGCAACCACAGCAGTCGCCCACAAGAGAAATAAATGTCGGTCTCTTCGCTCTGGATTACAATAATTCCGCGAATACCACTTTGCTGCTTTATGAAGAGTGGCTTCTGGCATCCTTCCTTGACTTCGAGCAGTCTCAACATAACCCATCTGGTTCAATCAGAACACTCACCTCAGAACTTCTTTGTGACCTAGAGGCAGCGCTGGTTGATGTAGAGAATTGGAAGATGCTGGAATGGGAGCGTCAGCGGGTGGTTGCCGCTGTCAATGCTGATGCTCAGATTCATTCTGAGATTCTCTGTCGACCATATATAATCTCCACCGGTACGTGTAAACATCCATTCTAGCATCAATTGACATTGATGTTCATGCCAACATGCAGAGAGGTTCGTCAACCCATCAATATTGAGGTCTGATCCTCTCCTTGCTACCTGCTACCTCCTGGTAGCAGTTCTACATCTCCTATGTTACGTTTCCATCAAGCGTTGTGCTTTCATGCTTAACGGCATGCGACTGCTCTTGCATCTCGCTTTCACCAAAGAGCAGTCAATGACTCCTGAATCTGAGGCTTTGCTGACCAATATTCCTCGCGATGTTCGTGCAATTCTGCAGAAAATGGACATCCATCCTATGACCAAATCCTACGTTTGCTGCCCTGCTTGTTTTACCCTATATCCTCTCGAATCTGGTGGATCTTACCCTGATCGATGCTCAGCGCGCACAACTTTTCAAAGCCCTCCTTGTGACGCACTGTTGCGTATACAGCGCAAAATCAGAGGAGTCATCACCACCTTTCCTGTATGGCGCTTCATATACCAGGATTTCAAGCACTGGCTTGGGCGAATGCTCTGCCGTCCCGGCTTAGAATCAATTCTCGACCAAGACCTGTTAGCGCCATTCAATGATGAGCTGCAAGGTGAATGCATGGACATCACCGAAACGGAAACTCTGCGAGAGTTCTATGGCGCTGATGGCCGACTGTTT